GGCTCGGTCGAGCCAGCCCCGAGCCCCGACGGAGCCCCCCCCCACCTCCCCGGGCCGGGCTTGTGCTGGGCGCGGCCGTTCATTCCCCATCGGGCCTCCCCCTTCCTCCCCATCCTCCTCTTCCTCCTGCCCCATGACATCACGGCCCCGCTCCCTCATCAGCCATCCCGTCCTGACACCAGCACCCGGTTGACTCCGAGGACGAGCCGGTTCAGCTCCTTCGTGGCTCTCCAGGTAACCCCCACACACACCTTGCACCCCCTCAGTCCGATGCATATATACATGCATGGACGAATACATGCATGTACACGCGGATGCGGCAGCGCGGGAGCAGGCAAAAGCGGACGCACACGGAGGAAGGAGCGCGTGCGTGCACGTCGGTGCGCTCGGATGAGTGTGCACGCATGGATACACGTGCAAAGACATCCACTCGCTCTTGCACACGCGTGGGGTGTAGCACCGGGCAGGTTCGGGCAGGGGTGGGGGGGGGTGGGTTGTGACTTCTTGTCCTGTACAGCCATGGGAAGCAATTGCCAGTAGGAACTGGGCGGTGAAGGTGCCTTGACAGGGAGAAGGCTTTGGGCTTCCTCCAGGAATGATGTGCTCAGGTCTAGCCTAGTCAACTCCCATCTCGTTTACTCCTCGCCTTCCCTCTGCGTGCTGCACCAAGACTCACCACTCCTCCGAGACCCCTCAGCAGGACCGGAGAGGGACCTTGGGCTCACAACTCACTCGGCTTTCCCAGCGCACCCGTTTCTCCATGGGGAAGGAAATCCCTGTGTCGCTTCCTGGCACAGCAGGGGCCAAGCCCTCGGCTGAGGCAAAGCCAGGGAATGCCGGTGAGGTGCTGTGGCAGCCCCTGAGGGGACACGTGTCCTGCCGGTACCGCTTGTTCCCTCCTTCCTGGAGCAGCCTTGTGTGCTTCGCTCCAGGGCAATCCATCCCTTTCCTAATGAGAGGGAGATCAGGCGCACCCGCACGTTTGCTTTTCACCTGCAGGAATTCTGCCGAGTCGTCCCCATTGTTGGATTTATTTTGCTTTTCTTGAATTTCATAATCGGGGTCAGTGGCTCCAAACAATGTTCGCAAGTGATGCAGGAAAGCAGTGCCAAGGCTGCAGTGGGATTTGGGGACTGTAGCAGGGAAAGCCCCACGCTGGGGGTGTCCAGGAGTTTTCGGGGTGTTTCAGGTGAAATCCCAGGTTAACCAGGGGTGCCGGCCAGGCTGCTGGGCTTTGGCAAGACAGTGCCAGCAGCAGCAGCCGTCGGTCTGTGTGGCACCTCTGTGGCTCAGCGTGCTGCTCACTAATTATGAGTGTTTCTGCTTGAGCAGACAGCAAGGGGAGCGGGGTTTTCCTTGACAGAAGGGGTGGCACCGGCATCCCTGTGGAACTGTCCCCTCTCCCCCATTTCATGGGGCAGGGTGCTGCCCCAGACCCCGCAGCACCCCTTTGCCATGCCTGGCGCTCGGAGCTGCCCTGCCTGTCCTCCCGATTCCACAGGGCTGAAATCTCCCATGTCTCTGGTGACACCAGGGACGAGCCGGTGGTGACGGGCCCCTCCGGCCCTGGGTCCCGCCGGGGTCATCTCCTCCAGGAGGAATGGCTGCTCCCAGCCCATCGTGGTCCCGTCGTGACTTCCTCCAGGGGTGCTGGGTGCAGTGGTGGTGTTCCACAGCTGGGGCAGCAGTGTCTGAATCCGTGGGGCTGTCTTAGGTCAGGATCTGGAGCGAGGGAACATGGGGAGAGGGGCAGACAGAAGTGCTCGGGATGGGGAAAAGTGCAGGGGCTCTGGGAATGCGCGTGCATACATGTAGGTAAGGCCAGCCTTGATCTTCGGAGGTGGCAGAGCGGTGGTGCGCCTCTGACCGAAGGAGGGGAGGCTCCTGCTAACCTGGTTATCACTTGCCAGGCTCTCCATGGCTGGGTTAGGCTCTCAGCGCTGCAAACCCAGCCCCGTGCCATCGGCTGCAGCTGAGCCGCTCTGGATTTACAGCGGGGCAATGGGAGCACACGGCCAGACCCTCCCTCTGAAATAAATAAATACACCGAGAGGCAGCAACGCTGCTGGTGAGGGGGAAGTGGTGATCTCATGCACGGGCGCTTGCGCCTGCAGCCGCTGGAGAGGCAGCAAGGGAGAGTTACGGTGCATGATAAACGGCCCATGAACCAGCACCGAAGCTGTTGCGCACAAACCCAGAGCTCCCAATCCTCTCATCTCCTCTGCTCCTGCCACCTCCTGCCCCCCGTCCCCCTGACACCCTGCAGACCCCTGGCGCTCAGCCGTGGTGGGGTGAGCATGGGGAAACCCTCCGTCCCCCACGGCTTGTCCAAGGGAGCGCACACAGGCGCTGGGACGTGGCTCAGCCAAGCCAGCTCTGCCGCACGCCGGGGGCCGCTGGGTACAGGCATCGCTGGCATCTCCCCAGCCGCTTCAGAGCCCAAGTGCCCCTTGCAGATGCGTGAGCACTTTAAAGCCTGCGTCCCTCTGATCTGCTGTGCCTGGAGTGCAATGACTCCCCAAGCAGCCAGATACCTTCAAGCGTTTCCATCCTCTGCTCAGTATTTCTGCCATTGCTCCCCCTTCTTCTCACAGGAGGGTGGGCAGGAGACGTGGCTGAGCCCTGGACACCGCTGCTGTTTTATCTGGCCTCACGACAGCAACCGTCTCCTCTTGGCAATTCCCAGGCACTGAAAGCCCCGTGAAGCCTCACCATGCAACACCGAGGTGAGGGGTGCTGCTGCACCGGGACGGCTCAGGGACCATGGTCCCAGAGTCCGTGGTCTGGAGGGAATCGGGAAGGTGCTGTGTCGGCACCTGCTCTGTCACAAATGAAGCTGCTGTTCCCCTGCAAAGCCCAAATTTCATGCTGGTTGCTGATACACACATGGCTCTGCAGGTTCCTCCGAGCCCCCCAGGGATGTTCAGCGCTTCCCTGCCCACCCCAGCCTGTCACCCTGCTTTGCAGCTGCCTCTGCCTGGAAAAACCTCCTTCTTCCCGTGCTCCTCCACGGGGTATTTTTCCTGCCAGCATCACCTGGGCTGGTCCCCCCCCCCATTCCCTGCCTGCTCCTGCCGTGCACTGCCCGCACCCACACCCCAGCAAACGATCCCCACGTTGCTCCAAGCTCCAAGTCCTCCTGCCCAGCCCCTTCCAACCCCCCCCCCGCAATGTGCAGGGGTCCCCGATGCCACCGGTCCTTCACCCTGCAAAGCCTCAGGCCCTGGTGCTCTCCCGGAGAGCCAGGGAGGGAAGGGCAGGCAGCATCCCCCCTTGCAGCAAGCCCTGTCCCCCATCACCGGCTGCCTGGCCTCTCCTCAGGGCCCAGCGGCGTGAACCAGTTGGGGGGTCTCTTTGTGAACGGCCGCCCCCTCCCCACCTGCAAGAGGAAGAGGATCATCGAGCTGGCGGCGTGCGGCGTCCGGACCTCGGACATCTCCCGCAGCCTCAAGGTGCGCCAGAGTCGGGGGGGGGTTGGGGGTCTCCTTCCCCTCCAAATCCTTTTCCCGCCGAGCCCCTGCCCCAGTCGCCCCATCCACAGGTATCCAACGGCTGCGTCAGCAAGATCCTGGGTCACTACTACAGGACGGGGGTCGTGGAACCCAGGGCCATCGGGGGTAGCAAGCCCCGCATGGCCACCCCTGAGGTGGTGGCCAGGATCGCCCAGCTGAAGCTGGAGCAGCCCTCCCTCTTCGCCTGGGAGATCCGCCGGCAGCTGCACGCCGAGGGCATCTGCGCCGGCGACAGGACCCCCAGCGTGAGTCTCTGCTGGGGAGAGCTGCGGGGGGCTGCGGGGATGCCAGGGGCGGGCATTGCTTGGGGGGGGGTCCGACGCCACGGCTGGGGTGCTGTGGGCTGGGGTCTCTCACCGGCATGGGCTGGGGGTGGTGGGGAGGGATGCGCAGAGAAGGGCTCGGTGCTCTGTGAGACAGCGGAGGGAGAAGCCGGCAGGAAGGGGAAGGCAAATTCCTCCCTCCCAGCTAAAGCAGAACCCCGCCGGGTGTCCCCAGCAAGCCTGGCCGTCGTCTCGGGCACTGGGACACTGTGGTGGGTCTGTTGCAGGTGCCACTGGTTGGCAGAGACAATAAAATGCAATCTGCAGCCTCAGCGTGGAAAGCCGTACTTCCTAATGACAGACCCACGCCTATAAATCTCACCGTCTCCAGCCCCGAGGTGCAGATTGCCTCACATAAAATATTGTTGGCCCACCGAAATTAAAGGGTTGCCTGTATCAACAAACAGCCGAGCAGATGGGCATAGCCCCGGCGCGGAGAATCCCTGGCACGTGCTCAGGCGCGGCTGCAGGATTGCACCTCGGAGATGAGCTTTGGGGCATCCACCTTGATTCCTCCCCACCTGGGTGCTGCCTGAGCACGTCTCCAGCTCCTGCAGTGAGCGGAGGGATGCCCACCGCAGGCAGGGGCTTTGCCCAGCACCCCCTGCTCCCACCCTGCACCCCCTGCCTGTGGCGCAGCCCCTGTCTCTCCCTGCCCAGGTCTCCTCCATCAACCGGGTGCTGAGGAACCTGCCCAGCGACCTGCGGCCGGCGGCTGAGCGGGGTTTTGCCGGGAACCCGCTGCCACGGGGTGAGCGTTGCTGGGGGTGATGGTCCATGGAGCAGGGGCTGGGGGTGGGTGCACCCCGCTGCCACCGTCCTCCCGGCTGCACGCCCCCCCACATGTGCACACACGCATGCGTGCACACGCACGCATGCATGTGCACGCGTACGGCTGACCCTGTGCCCCCAAAACAAAGGGGCTCATTGACTGACCCTCCCTGACCCTTCCCAGCCCCCCCGGAGAGCCCCCAGAGCCGGGTCCCCCCCCATCTTCTGCCTTTCTGTCCCCGCAGTGTCCCCTCTCACTGCCCCCCCCGCCCCGCATCCCCCGGGCTGCCGCTCACCCGCCGAAGCCGGTGCCGCCGCCTCCCCGGGGACCCAGCACCCTCCACGGGGCTCTGCATCCAGCCGGCAGCTCCCGCTGAGCACCCAGCACAGGAACAGGACAGTCTTCTCCAGCCAGCAGTCAGAGGCCCTGGAGAAAGGTGCAGCTCTCACGGGACGCCGGCTGAGGCCGGGGTATTCGGCATGCCCACCTTGAGGTGCCACAGACTGCCGGGATGGAGCAGGGCCATCCCCAGGGGAGGACATTGCCTCTTTCTGGATGGGCTCCTGTCCCTTTGCATGGCACAGCCATCGCTGCGGTGCCCCAAACTGCTCCAAATTGCGGGCACCGGGGCCCGGCAATGGACCGGCTGCAGCCGCACGTCCCGGCATCGCCTGCCATGGTGCCGGGGTTTGTTGGGGTGGCTGCGCCGGACAGGCTGACCTCACCCCAATCCCCCTGTCAGAGTTTCAGAGGGGACAGTACCCGGACACCGTCACCCGGGAGAGACTGGCCGCGGCCACCCAGCTGCCTGACACGACCATCAGGGTAAGAGGAGACCCACCACGCTGCCGCTCTCCAGCCGGGAGCACGCCTGGCCTGATCCTGTTGACCAAAGCATCCCAGCCAGGGTGCTGGGCTCGGAGCTGCCTAGCCTGCCAGCGCTCGGGGGGGACACGGCTCCGTCCTGGCACGCGGGGACATCTCCAAACCGTGTCACTGCTGCTGGCAGTGGCAGAGGTGGGAGCGAGCTCAGGCGGGCAGCGTGCACGCCAAGGGGAGAGTGACCCCCGAGAGCAGGTTTTGTCCCCAGGTCGGGGGTCTCTACCCTCTGATGGCTGGGCACGGGCAGGAGCAGGGGAGGGCTGGCTCCATAAGGTCGTGCTGGTGTCTTGTGTCTGCCGGGGCAAAGCCGGGTGCAGGCACCACTCCGGTCACACTCCCGGCCTCTGGTCTCCCCGGCTCTGCCCCACCATGGGGTTACATGGCAAGCTTCGTGGGGCACTCCATGGCATACTTCATGGCACAATCCACGGCACGGTCCCTGGCACACTCTGTGACACTCACCATGGCAGACTCCCTGGCACACTCCCCTCACACACACATCCAGGGCACACTCGGTAGATCCCGGCAGACATCCCTGCGGTGCTGGCAAACCTTCACCAGTTCGTGGCAGCCCCTTTCCCTCCCAGCCACTGACCATCGCCAGCCAGCTCGGTGCCCCAGGCAGCGACAGCAGCCAGTCCCCCTCTCTACCAGGGCAGGGCTGCCCGTGCACTCCATGGCAATGCACACACGTGCACACACGTGTCTCCCATGCCCCATGCTGGAGAAGCATCCCAGACCCTGGCACGTGCTTGCAGCCTGATGAGGTGGAGAAGACTCAGGATCAAACCCCTTCCTCTGCCCATGTCCATGTCCGTGCCCATACCCATGCCCAGGGGGATGTGAAAAGCCCGTGTCCCAGGGGGACAGAGCGGTGCCAAGGAGCCGGAGCACTGCCTGGGGTGGGGGCTGGCAGCCTCAGCTCCCTCCCTCCTCCCCAGGTCTGGTTCTCCAACCGACGAGCGAAATGGAGACGCGAGGCCAAGCAGAAGCTGGAGGCTGGCGGTGCAGGTGACAGCCCAGGGGCGCAGGGGACAGGACGTGGGACCTGATGCCCGAGGAAGGGGCTAGGGTCCAAGGGCCACCCCAGGAGGGCGTGCAGCTGAAATTTGGCACTGAGCACCAGGATGCCTGAGCTTGCCTCCCAGCTCTAGAGCCCCGCTCAGAGCTGGGAAGAGGACACGGCTGCTCTCTGCTTTCCCTCTGGTGAAAGGCAGCCCTCCCCACCCCAAAATCAGGGCTGGGAGCCCACGCGGTCCCCAAGCCAGTGCGCTGCCCTCCCCGCTTCTCCCCATGCAGGCTCCTGGTGTGACTGGATCCTGCCCCATGGGGCAGCCGTGGCTGCTTTCTGCCCCCCCTCTGCAACAGCCACCGGCTCAGCACAGGTAGGAGATGGCCAGGGGTCCCTTCCCACGCTGCAGCCTCCAGCCGGGGTGATGGGGAGGTCTGGCTGGCACCCCCAGCAGACTCCGGGCACCCTCTGGAGCCAGCGCTCCCACTGCCCGGCTGCTCTGGGCTCTCCGGGCAGTGCCCTCCCTGGGAGCCTTTTCCAGAGCCGTGCTGGAGGGTGACACTTTGCAGGTCCCCTTTGGGGTGGCCAAGTCCCAAAGCATCCCTACGCATTCCCCATGACATCCTGCTCTCTGCTCCCCACACAGCACCTCCCGGCCACCCCTGCCGGCTCGCCGCAGCCCCTCTGCGGCCACGGCCACGGCCAAAGCCTCACCACCTATCCTGGCACCCCGGCCCCGCTGCATCTCTGTACCTCTGGCCCCTGCTCCTGGGACGATGCTTGCTGCGGTAAAAGGGCTGTGGGGTGGGCTGGGACCCCTGGGCACGGCCAGGGTGGAAGCCGGCGGTGGGGTGCGGGACCCCACGGGGTGCTGGAGGCTGTGGGGAGCGGGTCCCCCTCGCCACCTGGCCTCAGCCCCGCAGCGATGTGGGGTGGCTGCTGGCGGGGTGGGTGTCCCCTGCCCCATGGCAGAGCGGGGCTGGGGGCGAGGGTGATGCTCCCCAGCCCCATGCGCTGCCTGAGCCCCATTTCCACCCCACAGGCCTGGCCCCTGGTGGCAGCCCCCCTCCAGCTCCCTGGCAGCCCCTGGAGGGCCCCCCCTTCGCCCTGCTGCCCCCCCGGGCTCACCTGCACCCCGCTGCCAGCCTGCTGCCCGGACCCCCGCTGAGCCCCCCGGTGCCGCCGCTCCACACCAACTCGCCGGAGCCCCTCGCCCACCTCCACGCACCGGGGTGCCCCTGGCTCTGAGGGTCCCCAGCGAGATGGAGGGCTCTGAGACACCCTCCAGCGCAGTGAGTCGAGGATGTCCGTGCATCAGTGCACATCGGTGACAGCCGGGCCACTTTCAGCTCACCGCCTGGCCCCTCCAAACTGGAATACCCCGTCCCCCTCCCAGGAGCTCAGCCCCACGGGGTCCAGTGGGGCAGAGGGAGTGGGTGCTGGGGGGGGAAGCATCCTGCCACACTGCCCAGCTTTGGGTTATCGGGGCTCGAAGCCTTGCTGGCACATGGGGGATGAGTGCGACCCTTCCCAGCTGGGTGAGGGGTTTATCCCGGTGCCACCGGCTGCGGCACAGCCCTGTCAGCCCATAGAGCCGAAACTTGTCCTGCAAGGCTTTGTGTGGGATGACACAGGAGCTGCGGGACAGACGGCATCCTGCTGTCTGCACGGCAGGGTCCCCACAGCCACCCCATGCACTCATCATCCAGCCTGCTGCTTCCCCTGAGCCACCCCCATCTCCCACGGCACCACCCCAACCCATGCTACAGACCCTGCAGCTCCCATCCCCTCTCCCCCACCCCAGACCCACTCTGATCCCAGCTGGGGTTTTCAGCCCAGCTCTGGCTGGGGCACGGCATGGCTGGGACAGCCCCCGGCAGCTCTCCAAACCACCCCCCACCCCCCCAGCGGGATGATACCCATCTGCATCCATCCCAGTGGGAGTTTTGCCCCCCCCAAGGCAGGAGAACTTCATGCCGGGCTTTGCCTGACCAGTGGCCTCTTCCTCAGCTGCCTGGGGTGGCTTGTGGGGACCAGGACCACAACCACGTCCCTGGGGGGACCCCCACATCCCCACCGCCACATCCCCATCCCCCTGGTTGGGGTCAGGCAGTGGGACCCGAGCGCCTCGGGGACCCCCTCATCACGCTGGAGCATTTGTCACCGTCCCCAGCGCCGTGTCCCTGTCCCAGCCCCTGGGACACTGCAGAAGAGTGGGCAGTGTCACTGCCCCACTTCACTGCTGCATCCCCCAACTAGCATCCCTCTGTCCACTTCCAGCTTCCCCCCCCCGCCATTTACAATACCATTAAATTACCCTGGGAAAAGTTAATTAACTGCCCATGGAGGGGGATAGTCAATGCCCACACTCCCATCCACCCTGCCGTGAGCGCCGGCACCTGACGCCATCGCCACAGGCACCGGCGCAGGTGCTGGGTGCTTCTGCCCATCTCTGCCCAGACGTCGGGGCCGTGCTGCTGAGCAGAGATGTGGCTCCATCCCACGCAGATTCTGCCTGGCCCCCCCACCCTGAGGCAGCCGGCCAGCGTGGACCCTGAGTCCCTCTTCCCCGCAGAGCCTCCAGTTTGACGCCTCTGTGCCGGGGTGCTGCTCTGCGGGAGGATGCGGAGCAGCGGGGGTGGCAGCATGGGATCCCGGCTGGGGACCCCTTTTTCTGCCTGCCGGGCTCACGCTGCTTCCCTGCCGCAGCAGCACGAAGCACCGGCTCCTGTCAGGGGCTGCTGGAAGTGGGGGACACCTCACCATTAAATGGGGACTTTTCCTGGCGCCTCCAGAGAAACCTCTAGCCTGGAGGGAGCTCTCCTAGCTGGGAAGCTGGGGAGTCTCCGGAGCTGGGGTACAGGGGCTGTGCAAGATGGGGAAGCAGTAAAAAACTTGCTGTGGCTGTTGTGGTCCCCCCAACGATTGCCTGTAGCTGCTGGCAAGCCCCCGAGCCACAGTATGGCTTCACCATGCCCCAGTTCAGGGATGGGACATCGGCAGGCAGAACTGTGCGGCACAGCCAGGACCCACTCCAGCCGTCCCGGGTCCCAGGCTGGCCCCTCCACCATGACCTTGCAGAACTGACGGGCCCTGACCACATGGCAGATCCTTGCTCTAAATAAAAAGGTTTGTGTTTGTGTTTGTTTAGAAATTGAATTTAACGGTGGAGCCAGGGTAAAGGCGCCCATCACTGGCACAGAGCATCGCTGCAGGCTGAAGAAACGGTTTTATTTGAAGGGGAATGATTGTTTCCTTCAGCCAAAGGGAACCAGCTGGGGGGAGCTCAGACTGAGGCGAGGGGTCTCCTCATTTGCAGCCTCAGAGGGACACTGTCTGGCGGTCACCGTCCCCACATGCCCACAGCCCCTGGCCGAGAGTCCAGCCTCAGCAGACTGCTGCTGGCTGCAGACTGCAGTGCGCCGGCTGGGCAGCCCAGGGGTCCCCTCTCTCTCCCAGGACAACGTCGGGCTCCAGCATAGCTTGTGTCTTTTTAAGCAAGAAAAAATAATTTCTATAAAAGAAGAATGTTCTGTGGACTTCTCTAAGTGAAAAACCAACCCAGGAGTAAGTGGCCGCGTTATCCCGATCATCCAGTCTTGCAAAAAGCTCAGGCCTGAGGATGCCAGTGAAGGCTTTTGCTCACCTGTACCCATGGTGCAGAGGCTGCGCCAGCCCCGGTCCTGCCTTGGCCGCCCATCTGTCCCGGCTGCCCGGCTGAGCTGCGGCAGCATCCAGGGACCGGTGCAGCACGTTACTGCCTGCGGAGAGGTGGGCTCAGAGACCTGCCTAACTCGTGGCATGTATTACTGACCAGCTGCCTTACAGGGAAAGCCTCAGTGTCCCCATTCTCACTTCTCTGATGTCTGAGCAGACTCATAAGATGGAGGTGAGCAAGGATGCCCTGGGACACCCCAAGGCTCCAGCACCCTCGGGCTGCAGCTCCGCTGAGCAGCTCCCTCTGCCCGTGTGCCGCAGCCCATGCCGTGCCGTGTGCTGCCGAGCACCCAGCACAGCCGGGGCTGCAAACCACCGGCACAGCCCCAAGCAGCTCCACGGCATGCATGGAGCCCATGGCATTGGGATTTCAACCACGCTCAGCCCCAGTGACAGGGATGGGGACAGGACGGGTGGCATCGCCGCGATGGCAGCAGACCAGGACTGTGCACAGCAGCCACTGCCGTGCCCCAGCAGTACCCGAAGCTGCAGCCACTCACAGCCACAGCCGGGCAGTGTGAGGCTGCGAAACGCCTGCTCAAGTCTGGGACCTCCAACCACCCGTGGTGGCTCCAAAGGAACCTTTTCCTTCCAGAAACGTGGAGCGACTGGGATGGGTTTGGGTGTATTTTTCAGGGGCTGCAGGAGGCCGGCTGCTGCGGTCACCAGCACTCAGGCCCTGCAGCACCAGAGCTGCGATTTCATACGCAGCCCTTCAAAAACATTTAAAACCAAAATCACTGGACCCACCGGGACAGACCTCAGCAGGGGCCGGCAGCCGGTGCAGGACACTGCCACCGATGTGCCCACTTGCATGGGGTAGGACCTTGTTTGCAGGGGTTGGCCAGGCAGGTGGGTTTGCAGGTGCCCCCCGGGGCACCCGAAATGCTGCGGGGTACTGGGAGCCTGCAGGGAGCCAGTCCTCGGGGTGCGTGTCCATGGGGAGGGGGTGCAGGGCAGGACCCCCCCCAGCCCTTCAGCAGCTCACACAAAGGTGCCGTCCCACCGAGAGCCCTCGCTGGCGGCTGCAGCGTGGTGGGGGGCTCTTTCCCGGCTCAGGGTGCAGCCGGGGCATTCAGTCCCCCCGCCAGCCCTTTGCTGTGACTGTGCGATGCCCTGGGCACAGGCAAGTTTTTCACACCCCTCCCGGAGAAGCAAGCAGGCAGCAAGCTCTCCTGCCTGCTCTCCTGCCTCCTGCAGCACCAACAGCCCTGAGAGAACCGGGGAGCTCAGCGTGACCAAGGGGACGTGTCCCAGCCACACCGCTGGAGGAGAGGGGACCCCGGCACAGCCGGGTACCCACCGGTGGCCGGGGCCGTGGGGAACTGGCAGGGCTGGAAGCAGCCAGGGCAGAGCGGGCAGCAAACTGGCAGGGCTGCAAAGGGCATCATGGCATGTGTGCTCTGGGGCTGCCAGCTTGGAGGTGGCAGCGGTCGGGTGCCAAAGGGACGCCCCACGGCCTTCCAGCTGGCATTTTCAGGGGACTTCATCTCAGCCTGACGGTGATGTCCAGGCCAGGCTGGAGGAACTGGTGCTAAATGGGGCATTAAATTATTCGCAGTGAGTGGCTGTCCTTTAGTTCCCCAGCTCTCTGAGAGTGGGGCGAGCGGGGGTGTGTGCATGTTGGGCATAGAGCTGAGCCCCCCCAGGCTGCTGCTCTGGGCTGTCCCCAGGGAGATGGGGACACACAGCTGTCCCCGGCACCAGCAGGACCGTGCACAATCCTGCACAACCCGGGGGAGGGAGCCCGGCACTGGGAGCTGATGAGCACAGGTCATCCGGCATCACCATGAACCATCACCCACCTTGCAGGGATTAACCGTCTCCCAGTAACCGTGGCAGTGAGCAAAGGCACCGGCATCACCTTGTCCTCTGCTGCAAAGTGGCTTTTGAGGCTCAAGGCTGTCACGATCATGGGGAGGCTGTTTCTCAGCTGAGCAGCCCAGCAGCTGATGCACCACCAGCTGGGATATGGCTTCTTCTGGTCCTTTCTCAGTCTCCAAGGATTCTCTAGCTATGCTGTAAACCAAGCCTGGTGCATCGGGTGGGATGGACATGTGCTACAAAGGCCATGGCTTAACGCCCACCTTCCACCATGGGGCCGCCTTGGTTGTGTCTGCTTTTTGTCCAACCTGGGCTCCCCGTGCTCTGCCCGTGGCCCCGCTCTCAGGGTCTTTGCACCGTGAGCAATCCTGGCTCCAAGGCACCACCAGTCCAGACCGCAGTGTGCACCCCAGAGCCAAGTGCGCCAGGGAAACCTTGCAGCAAAGTAACCCCCCATCTCATACTGTCCCCCCACTTTTCTCCACCAAAGGCAACAACCTGTAGCAGCTTTGGTGGGAGACTCAGGGCTCTGGGGCAGAAGTGCTGAGCCCTGGGAACCTGCGAGCTCTGCCCTGGGGCTCCAGTTGCCCCCCCCAGCTGCCCCAAGGGAAGAGGCACACAGCCCCAAGTCTGCCACCAAGGGGAGGGGAGTCTGGGTCCCCCCTTCCCTCAGCTCCCTGGGCTGTGAAAGGATCCAGCTCCTGTCTCCCTGCTCCAGCCCCTGCTGACCCCTCGCTCCCTGGCCAGGCACCCCTGGGATAGGTGGAAGCCCTCCAGCAGGATGGGTGCTGATCCACTGAGCACCCGCCTGAGCTGTTACAAGGGGACAGCCAGCACATCCCCGGGGGGACAGCCAGCACACGGCTCAGCTCCATGCAGGGAGCATGTTTTTTGCAGGGCACACAGTTTAGCAGTGCACTTTACCGGGAGGCATCCCCTCTCCACCCCCAGCCACGCATGGCATTGCTGCTGCCAGTCCCCACGGATGCTCCGTGCCCGCTGCCTCCCGCCTGCCAGCCATGGGCTTTTTGGAGGCAGCACCCAGGACCAGGCTGCTCCCCCTTCTCCCAGTGCCCAGTGAGGGCTCAGCCCCTCGCTACCAGAGCATGGCCACTGTTGGGCTGCCAAACACTTGGTTTTGCCCGGTCCCACTAATTACAACCCAATTAGCACTCCTGCAGCATGCAGCCTGAGCTGACCCTGCAGGGCTTTCACAGCAGCCAGCACGGTGGGGAGGCAGCACGGACCCCTGACAGCACCCCGGGGCGGCTATAAAACGGGTCAGACCCCCTCCTGGCACCAGGGGATGAGAAAATGAGCTTGCCAACACATCTTGGAGTCTCTGTCCATCTCCTCTGCGTCCCAGCACAGTGCACGCAGGGTTTTATTAAGGCCCAAATCTCTGTGCCCCGAGATGTTCGTGGAAGATGTATGTTGGGGAGCGGGGCTCTAAGGCCAGCCAGCCAGAAACGTGCCAGGCACAGGGTACAAAGTGGTGGTGTTTAATTAATCCATATACAACAGCACATTACGCAGCCATACGCCCCCTCCCCGAGAGAAAGAGAACTATAAAGTTTATCGAAGGATAAAAAGGAGGATCCTTCTGACCCACAGCGGCAGGGCTGCCTGCCAGCCCCGCTCAGCCCCCACCGCCAGCTCCAGGTGAGGAGTGGGGACACTTGGGGACATGCCACCCCAGCAGGTCCGGGCAAGCTCTCGCAGATGGCACATGCAGGTGGGGAGGGCGGCCAGCACGCAGCGCTGCCAGGGCGAAGGCAGGACACCGCAAAATGGAGCTGCCTGAAGAGTCCTTGAGGTTCAAGTCCTACCAGATAAACACACAGAGACGAGGCCACGCTTGGGAGAAAGGAAAAACACTCCCCCCTCCCAAAATAAACAAAAAACCCCAAACAAAACAGCAGTTGGAAGAGACGTCCTCGGCTCATCCGGTCCCTGTGCCGCCGGCCCAGCTAGCGCTTGGAGAGCTCGTGCGATAGCCAGTCCAGCCCGTCGTAGAGCCCCGTGCCCTGGGTCGCACACGTTGCCTGCACGTACCACTGCAAAACAGAGGGAGATGGAGAAAAGGGCTTTGGGCTCTGCAGATCGCCAGCCCGGTGCACCCCAGGAGCAGCCCCGTGCCCCATGGGTCCCTCCTGCAAGGATGGGGACGGGGATGGCACCCTGGACACTCACGGTCCTGCTGCGCAGCGTCTGCAGCCCCAGCTTGTCGGTCAGCTCGCTCACCGCCATGGCATTGGGCATGTCCTGCTTGTTGGCAAACACCAGCAAGACGGCATCCCGCAGCTCATCCTCCTGCAGCTGCAGAAAGAGCAGGGATGGCTGAGCCGGGCGCTGCCGGAGGGCAGCTCTCGGTGAGCCCTCAGTGAGCCTCCGCAGCGCCGGCACCCCAGCAAGCAAGACCTGGCTTGGACAGACCAAAAGAGCCGGGAGGGCTCTCCAGCTCCTCCACTCACCTCCAGTATCTTGGCTGCCCTCCTGCCCCCATCGATGCCTGGAGGTCTTGGTGGCACCAGGATGCTCTTCCAGGAGCACCCATGCCCTTCGCAGAGGGGCACCCGCATTGGAGCGAGGGGCTCCAGTGATAGAGGGGGCACAGCAACTGCCGTGGGGACGGTGCAAGAGAGCAGGCACGATGCTCTCCAAACAACGGCAAGCAGGCAGTGGGTATCTGCCCGTCCCTTCTTCCCACTCTCAGGCTGTCATGCACTCCGCTCCGTGCCGGCTTCCTTCCCCAAGGATGCTCTGCCCCCACCCCAGGCAGCCACACCAAGGAGTAAATGACCCCTGCCTCGCAGGCTGGCTTTCGGACATCGTTTCTGGACTGGGCACTTGGCTAGCAAAGCCCTGACTAAGTAAAACATAAAACCACATTTTCTCAGCCATATTTCCCCCCTTGCAATTGCTCCTGCTTCCTGCAGGTCCAGCCTCTGCCTGGCAGAGGAGTCTCCGTCAGGTCCCCAAGCCCGTTTCTGGATGGATGCCCCTGGCACTACATGGCGGGCAGAGCAGAGCCAGGTCTCATCTTGCATCCAACCAGGCATTGCTGCAGAGCTGGGCGAGCGGGAGGAGGGCTGGGAGATGCCCACCTCCCCGCCAGAATAAATCCCCGCCGTCACTCACCATCTTCTGCAGCTCATCGGCAGACTCCTGCACTCGCTCTCGGTCGTTGCTGTCCACCACGAAGATGAGACCCTGTGGGAGAAGCCAGGCTGGAGCAGGCAGCTTGCACGGAGAAGAGAGGGACATCCCAGACATCCCAGGTGGGCTGCAGGCACCCCCCCAGCCAAGGGGAGAGCAGCCCCGCTGCCCCCCTGCCCCCCCCCCCAAAAACCAGAGCACCCCAGGGACAGTGCTACATCTCACCCCTTGCCTGCTCCTCTGCCGGACCCCTCTGCCTTGCTCCCCTCCAATGGGGCGGCAGGGCAAACACCCAGGCACCGTCCCAGCACCCCCAGCGGGGCCACCGCACCGGGGACCAGGACGTGTTCCCTGCCACCACTCACACACCCAGTTCAGGCAGGATTAGGCCACAAGCCCCGGGGAAGCCTGAGCCAGCCCCGCTGCAGCTGATGAAGTTTATCCCTGCCCTGAGTCAGCGTACCTGCGTGTTTTGGAAGTAGTGCCTCCAGAGGGGTCGGATTTTGTCCTGGCCACCCACATCCCAGACAGTGAAGCAAATGTTCTTGTACTCCACTGTCTCCACGTTGAACCCTGCGGGGGGCAGGAGGGGCATGGGGAGAGGGTGAGAAGAGCCTGGCTCCACTTTCTTTACACCCCCCCATGAGGGATTTACACACATGGATGAAATCCCCCCCGAGGCGTCTCCTCTCCAGGCTGAGCAGACCCAGCTCCCCCAGCCTCTCCTCCTATGAGAGATGCTCCAGTCCTTTCACCGTGGCCCTGCACTGGACTCACTCCAGCATGTCCCCATCTCTCCTGCACCAGGGAGTCCAGCACCAGACCCAGCACCCCGAGGTGTCTCAGCAGAGCTGAGCAGAGGGGCAGGAGCTCCTCTCCTCTCCTGACCCACTCTCAGTGCTCTGCCCAGCACAGCCCAGGGTCTGGTGGCCCCAAGCCACAAGGCCATGTGCCTGGTGCTTGCTCAGGTTCCTTCCCAGCGGGACTGCCAGGACCTTCTCCTCAGAGCTCCTCTCCAGCAGGTACCAGGGCCTGGGGTTATTCGTCTCCCAGGACAGGACTTGGCATTCCCCTGGTTGAACTCCATGAGGTTCCTCTGCCCATTTCTCCAGCCTGCCCAGGTCCCCCTGGACAGCAGCACGGTCCCACTGGTGTATAACCACTCCTCCTGGCTCAGGACCGTCCACAAGCTCGCTGAGGGTGCTCTGTCCCCATCACCCAGGTCATGAATGAAGATATTCAGCAGCACCAGCCAGCATGGTACACCACGGCTGACCGGTCTCCCCGACCCAAGCAGCTCAGCACATTCCCAATCCACCTCCATCAGCTTGTGGGAGATGCTATGGGAGACGGTGCCGAGCACCCCACTGAAAGCTTCACACCAGGATCTGGCAGGACAGCTGCCTGCCCTGCCTGCCATGCTCGGGCAGACTGGATCCCCATGGTCCGAGCGACCTCCTGGCCATGAAAACACCTTTGCCCTCTCTGGACCGGAGCCAGATCACGGTGACATAATGGCTCGGGCTCTGTGTTCATCATGGGGCAGGCGGAGGGCAGCAAACCAGGGTGGCACATTCAGGTTGGCACCTGCCGTGCAGGTCAGGGCGGGTGGTCCATGCCAATGCCCGTGCCGGGGACTGCAAGGGGTATTTTGGGGTGCAAGCCAAGGTCCCCACTGGGCACCGGCCGCGGCTGTGCCCCAGCACCCAGGCAGGCAGGGGATAACGGGAGGGTAATGGCTGGGCGGACAGGGCACTGGGCATCATGCCGCACATCTCACCCACCCGCGGCCCCCAGCCCATCGGGGTGCACCAGGGATCAGCCCGGGGGACCCACGGGAAAGCGGTACCTGGGTGGGCAGCAAGGCCTGTGGGATGTGGGGGGGGGGGCCTGCCCGGTGCCGGCTGTCAGAGGCAGGGGGGGGGGGGTCCTGCCCGGTACCCGGTGCTCGGTGCGGGCCCTGCCCGGTGCCGGCTGTCAGAGGCAGGGGGGGGGGGGGCCTGCCCGGTACCCGGTGCTCGGTGCGGGCCCTGCCCGGTGCCGGGGCACTCACCGATGGTGGGGATGGTGGTGACGATCTCGCCCAGCTTCAGCTTGTAGAGAATGGTGGTCTTGCCGGCGGCGTCCAGCCCCACTGCAACGAAGAGGCGGTGTCACCGGCGCCGGTACCGATACGTGCCCCGGCCCCATCCCCATCCCCCGCCCGGCCCTGCTCCGCCGCCCCCGCGCTCACCCATCAGGATCCTCATCTGTTTCTTGCCGAAGATGCGGGAGAAGATGGCGGAGACCGTGAGGCCCATGGCGGCGGCGGCGGGACGGACGGACGGACGGACGGGACGGGACGGGACGGGACGGGACGG